AAATTTATTAAATACTGTATTTTTCCAATATAAAAAGATTTATATATTATAAAGTAAACTTTATTTCGTTGCTGGCTAATTGACCATTCCTCGTGGCCTTCATTGATTATGCCTCGGTATAAATCGTATTTATAATTACCATTGTTTTAATACGACGAGTAGTACAAAATATAAAAATGTTTAGTATTGTAAACGGGGGAAAAAACGTTGATATAAAATATCTAGAAAAGAAGATCTTCAATCTTTCTTTAAAACATTCGTTTAAGCGACTCTATCTGGTGTTCATCCAGAAAGGCACTCACTCATACCATATATCTGAAGACTGCATTGATCACAACGGCATCTAATTAAAACATTAGATAACGCGCTGTCGATATGTATTAGTTACGCGCGCGTAACTCGTTAACGATTATGCTCTAACGGTATTACTTTGTTCCGGAAACAGTGAATCGTAACTAGGTGGCAGGTCTTTATCAGCGACCGACGAAGAGACCGCGACTTCGAGCATCGGTGCCGTGGGAACCGGTGGATTTACGGTGCTCTCGTGACGTGGCAGCGGACCGGGCCTCGAGCAGACGCTCGGGTCGGCGCAATCCGTGGCCCAACACAACTTTTGTGATCGCTTGCATATCCATAAACACATAACGAATATTATGAAGCATAGAATTAAAGTAGTCACTGCACCTACTGTTACTTTCGTGCCCGTGCCGGTGCTCACGATCTCGAGACATTTACTTTCATCGTTACAAACACCTGGCACACAGTTGTAAATATCGTCGCAAAAATATTCGTCCATTATACAAGTATTATTGCCGATCGATGTATACTTGGTCGGATCCACTTTACTACAATCTAATCATAAAAAAATATGTTTTACCTTGGCCAGGTCAAGCATAAGATTACAGATTGAACAAACTCACTTGTGAAGGAGGTATAGGCAATGATCAGGGCGAGAGACTCCCCTTCCTGTAACTCCTTTTTCGAAATGAATATTTCAGTTTCTAATTCTGCAGAAGATTTACTATTGATCATCGGATCGAATTCCCCATAGATGACCCATGTCGTGAATGGGAATTCCGATGAATTATCTTCTGGTTTACTGGGATCTAAGAGGCCGCACAATCTCTCCGTCTTATGGCCATCTTTTCTTTTAAACTGCAACGAATTTTCAAGTTTATGCGACAATCTGATCATCGATCATTACAGGCGCATCTGCTATTGCATGTAAGCTCGTTTAACGTAACAGAGAATTACTACTTACTCGTACATAATCTATACAATGTGTTTCGTTTCGTCTGAAGGACATTTTTTGAATAACTCCGAACAAACCATCCCCTTCAGCTGTCTTAAACGTAAACTTGCAATGAACGTTATAACGACGACCGTTCCACCGGTCAAACATGTGTTTTGGTCTGATTATTGCGGCACCACTTTTAATGTCTATAGGCGGCGTTTTACCAAGAAGACGGCAAAGTTTCTCCGTTTCCAAACCATCTACGGAGAGGAGGTTATAGATGAAACATCCTCACGGAAATGAGAAAACTAATTATGTTCGTTTAGGATGAGACTTACATTCGACGTAATTATCGTAGAGCCCGCACAAACTGTAATTCACACAGTTATTCGCGAGGAATAACAAGTTTAAAAGTTTCAAAACGTCCCATCGAGCCATTTTTACAGGAACTGTCAAAAAGCCATAAAGAATCCCACGGGGTACGTTATCATCGATTCGTCGACGTATATGAAGCTGCGTGTGACTAATTTCCCAGGTATTGTCCCGTGAGAAATAGTTAAGCGGAATAAATGATCGTACAGCGTTTTCACGGAATCGTGTCTGAGATTCGATTCACCGTCTTCACGGATACGTCATCCTCCGCGTAGTATCAAAACAAAACGAATGTATCTCACGTAGTCGAGAGAAACACGAGATCGAGATGATCGAGATCGACGATCTCGACGGGATTCGTTCAAAACGAAACTGCGGCTGTCCGCGCGTTGCTAATAAAATAATATTTGCCTGTGTCTTTAATTGAAATAATTTCATTTGAAGAAAATACCTAACGATAAAATGGATAAAATAAAAATAATCAGGCTGGAGTACGAGGACGTGGAAGTTGGCAAAACGGGAGTAAAGACTATAGAAATATGGAACGAATCAATGGTAATAAGCGGTAGTAAACAGCTACGATTACATAGACGTATTATCAGCGTTGATATTGGTTTTCACTCGTAGAAAAATCAAGTGTATCAAGTTCAAAGGGATCCAGCTACGAATCCTTTGGATCACGTATTTCATTTACGTTCCTATACTTGGACTTTAGCGCCGGAAGAAAAATACTTATGCGACATACGTTATCGGCCTCTTGTCGCGGATACTAAAAATGTTGATTATTTCGTGATCACGGATACTACCGGAGCGTGTATGAAAATTATCACACGTGGATCTAGCATCGGTACTTATCGTGTATAGTACTATCAGTTTGCATACGCACGCTTCAAATGAATGTTATCTATAGCTCAAACATTTATTTAATCCCGATTGAATTTCATTTTACTCTACCACTGCATTTCGGATTTTAATAAATCGAACAGGTCCCCAGGTAATTTGTTCGGTGACGAAGATCTTTATGCGTTGCTCGATGGAGAATCAAGAGGTCAAGCGTCGAATAAAATTAAAGAACAAATCGAAAGGCGCCGCGACTTTTATGTTCAATATTGACGAGAAACATAAACCGTTCCAATTAGACACGAGGTACGGTGTAATTAATCCGGGCGCCCGTAAATATATCACAATTACGTTCACGTCGCCGAAAGAGAAGAGATATACCTATTATTTGGTTCTTCTAATTATGCATCAAGTAAATAAAAAAAATTAATGAACATACACTACTTAATAAAGGAAGTGATATTTTAACATAAAATTTGTTGGAAATTTAGAAACCTATCATTATAGAATTACACGGTTATTTGACATCAACGATGTTCGATATCACTCCTTTTACTTATCCCTGGCAAGAGAAAATCGGCTTTAAAGGATATATGACGGATGTGGTTGACACGTTAGAGGATTTACCTCCCGTGTCCTTATCAAAACGTTATTTTAATTTTGGCCAAGCAGACGTGGACGCAGATAACGTCTTCCAAAGAATACCGGATGCAATATGTCTTACTAATCACTGCAATGTAAATGTATTGATCATCTGGGAGGAAGGTAACGAGCAAGTGTAAAAAATGAATCTTGCAAATTCACTTTTTAAATTATTCATCGTATCGCAGATTCCGATGGAATTTTTAAAATAGAACCTCTCGAAATGATAGTGCAACCACACCAGTCCGCTCTATTCGAACTTACATTCAATCCCAATGGAACGAATAGGCTTTACGGCAGAGAAATAATTGGTTCTGCATTCTTGGAACCCAGGAGAGATACTACTTTCCCGTTTGTTATATCAGTGGTAGTAATAGGTCCGCCTTTTAATTATGTATGAGTGTACATAGTAGCTTCTTTAAATAATATTTAAAATATAAAGTCGAACAACCTTCCTTAGGTCATTCCTTCCCCGTCACATCGAATGGATGGATACCGCAGTACGAGATACCTCAAACTGTGATTATGCCACCCTGCGTTCCACCGCACCCAGTCTATACCACTTTCCTGATTAAAAGATTTGGTCATCTGCCTCTTATGTTTCAATTTATTTCACCGCAATCAAGTCATTTCACTGTCAAACCGATGCTCGGCGTGATTTATCAGTACGACGTGCAATCCGTAAATACGTTTATTCATCGTACTTCTCGATTATCAGTCGTCGAATTATTTAATTGCAGTGATTATCAGATAGTCGTAGTTGAATTAGCTCCGGAGTCAAAGAACGAACAGATTTATATAGAGAGATGGACAGTGATCTTTAATGGGAATATAAAGAATGAGAGTTACATAGACTTTAAGGGATACGCGGAGTATGCAAATATCATGATGAACAATAATAATACATTGACCTTCTCACCAGTTCTAGCGCATTGTCAGCAGTTCGCACAACTCGGAATGAGAAATGTTACTCGGCATAAAATAAGGTAAATCAATTTTACTGCTAACGGAGCTGTCGAGTTCCGAATGAAAATAAATCAGTGCTTTATAGGTATCAATTTTATCAATTGCCGCCTGAATTGGGCGTGGAGGAATTGAAAGGTGAGATCATCGCAAACGATACTCTACTCCAAGAATGTTACTTTTCTCCAACTGAGCCAAACGTGAATTACGATTTCGAGGTCCAGTGCATTGTAGTTGTAATAAAGAACGAGCTAACCGTTGGATCGAAGATTTGCATAAATTTAGTTGTTCGTGGGAGAAGCGAGTGGGGGTCATTAGAAGTACGATATTTACGAAATGAATGTAGAAAAGATAGGAAGGAAGAAGTTGTTCATTAGTTTACCCTCGATCCTTAGGCAATTCCAAGAGAAATACATCTTGGAGAGATAGAATACAATGATACCAAGTCGTTGTCCTTCAGTCTCATTAATCCTAGCCCAGTGAATATTTATTATAAATTAATTTGTACTCATCGTAATTTACCGCTTGAAAACATCGACGAAGACGTAAAGTTGCATCCAGCGTCGGAGACGATTTTCGCGGGATCGCGTAAAAAGATTTCAGTGGCCGTTACTCCGCGCACACCGGTTTATTACCAGTTCGCAGTTAAATATCTGATAAGAGTCAATTTCCGATTGGACGACCTGGTGCCGGAACAAACTCCAGTGAAACTTTGCAATGTCTACTGCATGTGCATATTGCCCACGATAAAAGTAACGTTTACTGAGAATTAAAACACTCGCGATTACGGAATTCTTCATACGTGCTCCATATATTAGGTGGCGAACGTATGTGCTTTTGGGCATAATCAGAAGTATTCAATGAACGTGAGCAAGCCATTCCTGTGGCGAGTAATGAGAATAAATAGGTAAACATCGATTTTTAAATGATATCTTTATCGTCGTTACGCGACGATTACCTATCATTTTCTTTTTTAGATTAAATAAGACTTTAGAAAATATGCTGCCAGGAGAGAAAACGGTTTTGGATATGGACCTTTTTCCGATGATCGTGAACAATGGAACCGTTTTAATAAAATGGATGATAATGAATCCTTCGAGGATGCCTGTTCCATTGACTCTTAAAAGAATTAAGCAATGCTCGTGCGAACCTGTCGTGAAGAAGATCGGATTGTCTCTTCAACGTACAGAGATTGATTGCGTACACAAAGATCTTTGTACGTTGTACGTAAAATCGAACAAGTTGGACGTAAGATTTCTCCCAATTATATTACTTAATCAAGAGTACGCTGAAGATTAACATTGATTGACCTATAGCCGAAACAAGAGACAGTTCTTGCTATGGACATACGCTACGCGTTGGAAGGGACGACTGTTATAAGTTGGGACTTGGACATCGGACATGATCGTCATATCATCTTCAATTTGCACATTATGTCCTTGGAACAGAATAAACCGCAAAGCAATTTCTTAACTTTTCGATCGGTCCAATTTGGACAAACCTATTTCGGAGACTTGGCCGGGATGTATAAGGTACGCTTATTTTATTATCTCCTAATAGTGCGTCACATCGATGATTGATATTTTAGATAAATTGGATGTGCAACATCACAAATAGTGATTTGCCATGTTCCGTGGATATAAGTAATATTCATAAGATTAACGAGTACTATCGCTGTGAAGTATTTTCATGTTTCACACAAGGCAATGTCATCAAATCCGGAGGACTCATGCCTATTCTTTTAAAGTTTCAACCCAGAATGTTTGGGGCATATGAAGTATGAAATGTAAAATTGAATCGTGAAATGCTCAGAGAAATAGATTGATCTGTTCTTCAGGTAAAGGTCCTAATAACTATGGGTGATAAAACGGAAGAATTGACAATAAGCGGAGAAGCGTCTTTTGATTCGAGGTCTGCTAGCATCGGGAGGCCAATACCGTCGGATTGCGCCTGCAAAACTCCACTGTTTCCAGCGTACTTTAGCATCGATTGCATAGATATGTGGTGTATACCTACGCATGCTACTATTGTTAAAATGCTTTTGATATACAATAACTTGGACTACGATGCCCTGGCGTACGACTGGAAATGGTATTTGTTCAATATTACAATTTAGACCAATTACTCATCGTTTATCAATCATGAGATTCTTTCATTTTTCTGCAGTCAAGAGGTACTCGACATCGTGCGCGTCGACATATTTCCTCGCAAGGGTATAATGACTCCGAAAGCGGTACAGACTTTCCAGGTGAAAATTTACACTAAAGGATGTCCGTGCCGGATCGATGTCAATATACCTTGCATATTTTTTAACGCGAGTAAAAGACGGGAGTACCAGCGGAGTATTATCAAATACAATATTTTAAGCGAGGAGTTAGAGGGACAATTTGTTATCACGGAGAAAGGAACTTTCGTCCCGGTAGTTAATTAATATTTTATAATTATCCACAAGCTGCTGATATCTTACGTTTCTGTAGAAACCGTGGTTGGAAATACTCGACGAACCGAAAAAATATTATAAAACATTGAGTATACGTTGCAGTATATATAGCGCAGAGGATGAATCTCGGAGAATCAATTTATTGAAAGAGTTAAAAGCTGCGCCGTTAGATGTAATTCTTTTAGATGAGAGAAAAGAACGTGATACCGTAAAGAAAAATGAACTGTTTCTCGTAACGTTTATTTTGGAAGGCATGTTATGGTAAGAATTACATTCCCACGTTTTTAGAGTTGTTTCTCTCGAATTAAGAAACTGAAATTTGTTTCCAGGGATATTGTCAACAGTACGAGATTTCGAAAGATAGTCACAGAAACTTTAATGCAAGAGAGGAATTTATATTATTCCCAATTCATGATGGATCTTGCTGAACGGAAAAGATTAGTACGAAGATCGTATATATCACCACCACTGATGCTCATCCATTCGATATTGCAAGAAGTAAAATACAAATAAATCTCCTGCTTTATATTAATCGAAAGATTAAAAAATAATTGAGTTCTCCACATTAGATGTTGTTTATCATGGTACATGAAGAATTCACTTTAAAAACCGCGCATTTAATTCCTGATGATGATGTGCGACATCGCAACTACCTTAAAATGTTGCCTATGCAAAAGAGGATTTATCTCGAAGAGGATTACAGACGCGGTAATAAATTATTCAGTATTCTTACCGTTCGTTTTATAACGGGAGTATTTCTTTTAGAACATAATAAACCTGATGCTAACCCCGAAGACGAAGCTAACAATCACTTACGATCAGGGTTTCGAGTATCTTTCATGGAGGATTAAAAAAAAATACTTTTATTTATATACAAAATATTTAGCATTACCTAATTTCCGCTTTAAATGGATCTGGAATGCGCCTGAATACAGCTAAAAACTTGTCTCCCTTGTTCCTCGTCACTTTCTTACCCTCCTCTGTGCTTTCATACAGTTTCTCGACTATTGGATCTCTGTCCTTTATGCAAAATTGAATAACACAGTTGGACAGTTCTTCTTCTATTTCATTCGTAACGATAGACGAAGAGACTTACCAGTTCATCTTTAGACATGTCGTCGAATAATGGATGCTCCCGAAAATGAGTTACCATCCACTCATGTAAATCTTTAACATCCGTCACGGTATATACAATCGCCTTTAAACCATAGCACACGTTTATTTAACTGTTATAAAATAATATATTAGTACTTAGATAGATGAAAAACATATTACCCCTTCGGCCAAAACGTAAGCATACTCGGCTAAAAGTGTCTTGTTTATGATTCTCCATTTGTGCTTAGACTTCTTGAAATGTGGATCAGGATATAAGAAAAACATCTTCTTCAACTACAAAAGCGTAGAACAGGTATGAAGAGAAATTAAAAGTTTAGCCAGTTTAAATATATACCTTAGTATACCTGGCCTTTGTAAAAATAATTTGGTAGGTACTTCATTGCATTAGTTCTTAAGCATGCGATGTTCTGATACTGTCCAGGATTTTGTGACCTTAGTGCAGCTATACGATCCATCACATAGTCAGACACTTTGACTCTGATCTCCATGCCAAGTATTAAATTATCAGGGCACATAAGAGATAACGTGACTATTATAAAAGATCAGTGAATTAATTGTTAGAAAGAAGAGACATACAAGACACGTCAAGATTTTGTATACCTAACAATCCTCCATATCCACAACCAACATCTACGAATTCCACACGCTTGTTCATCACTTTATTTTCTTTGGAATCTTCGCTAGATGAGAAATAAAACGGGTATAATGAGCTCCAGTCCATTAACTCCGGTTTGATCGGGCTAGAATTTGATTCCAGATAAGATGAAAGGAATACTTACATAGAGTTCAAATTCTTACGCAAGTTCTCATTGTTCCTATTCAAAATAATTACGTACTATTCAAAACAATGATCCGCTATGGGATTCGAGTGTGCACGTTGTCTGTAATATTTTTTTTGTGGCAATGGCAATAAGTCTGTCATGATGATAATTTGTCAAGCAACGAACCACATGGAGGATAAAGTAACATAACCTGAATCTAACCAATGTGACGAAAGCCACATGAAAGCCACGGTAAACTCATGCTCATTCATCAGTTACCCTATACATCGCTGATGGTTGGCCCATGCGCAGATGCGCATAATGCGATGTACTTATATTCTCGAATATTTAACTATTTAAGGCCCGAATCATTGTTGTAAGATTTATGGAATTTCGAACACAGGATCGTCCGTTGACAAATACTGAAACTCAAGTTTCATTTGAGGTATTTATTTCTCATTATTCCTGAATGATCTAATGACTGGCGTATCGCACGAGCCGGAGCTTCGGTTAATAGAGAGAGAAGGAGAACATCTATTCGGCACGGGACGGGACGTTTTAAAAAGACACGAAAAATTGAAAATTTATTAGATTGTAACCGTAGTTTTGCACTACCATTTCTAAAAAGCAGCGAACCCGTGCCTTCACCCATTTAAATTACTAATGATAAGGTAAACGAAATTTCAACTTGACAAATACGTCGTAAGAAAAGGATTTAAAGATTAAATCGAACGCCGGTATGTCTGTATGAGTAATTACAATACTTATGTGAAGTGATATATAAACGCGTTGAAAGTAAGCATTTACACTGGTAACGTGCGTACGTATGTAAACATACATATAGGGTAAATAATATAGGATTATGTATTTTGTTAAAATATGTTCTTTAATATAATAAAAATTCTATAAATTTCTCGCCCGTTGAAACTTACGACGCATGCGAGAAATCAGCTGTTCGAGGTTCCTAGCCAGCACCGCCTGCTGGACGACGCCAACAGCAGCAAACGAAAAATACGGCGAGATACATTTTTCGTGTCGTGATTTTTGCAGTGGAATTAACGAATTTTATGTGCAACTTAAATGACACAATGCTGTTCGTGGCTGGCTTGACGATGTTGTTTCTAATTTATACGCGTACGGTCTACGTTCTCGTGTAACGAGGTTCGGATACCTTCAAAATCATCGTATTCTCTCAGGTGAGGTTACAATTATCTTAACAAAAGGTTTTACATACATACTCGCATTTCTAGTCAGAGATCGTTTCGAAGAGTCTGAATCATTTGTTCGAAAGTAACAAAGGATTCGTCGTTATCTTACTTTTATTTCACATACATTCGATTTGATCGTCGAGTACTCGCATTCCTAGTGAGTTTTATTAAAAAATTCGAACGTGTCATCTTTTATTAGTTTTTGAGTAATATCTATTGCCGTAATCCTCGTGTTAGAGTATCGCTACGCGAAGGATGAATGCCTTTATAAAGATATTCTTTTATTTCCTTCTTCCCTATCGTGCTCTTTTGTTCCGAATCGATTCTTTATGCGGCTGTTATTTGATCGTAGATTGAATAATCGTGATTCTATCATACATGACGACAACGGGTATCCGGAACGAGCTATCTTTTGTTTAATCGGTGAGTTTGAATTACCAATTACAATTACTGTTTGACGATTGATAGTACTGAATAGTGATAGTGTATAATAGTGATAGTGTACTAATAAGCCTGATGTAATGATTCACGTTGCTGACATTATATAGTGTGTGTATCAGTGAACGTACAAGATAAGTATTGATTTTACAAATAATTTATCGTTAAAGAAATTCAGATTTTTTACAAGTATTAATATATTTCATTTTATGAGCTTGCAACTCAAGATGATGATTTCGTACGTTTTTATGGGTATTATCGAAGTTATAAAAAACGTACTGATAACTAATCGTTTAAGCTAGTAGACAGGAATTTGCCATTTCTCGCGATAGTACGTTCATTAAGTTTCATTTCGTAAACATGATTAACAGCGTATTTCGATTTAGGTAAATGTTAGATTTGAAGAAAGGTGTTTTTATAAATTGAGAAAGTTAAAAATGTACCTCAAATCGTTTTGCGTTTATCGGGAAATTACTCGTCGACCGAAAACGCGCATTCCAGAAGTCAGTCGAAAAGATGCCGACCGAGAACAGACTATTACAATGGGCATAGTATTTTGTATGAGTTCATAGAACAAGATCGTTGCCGCGCGAATCGAAAACAGCGGTCGCTCATTACCAATGGGACGATTAGGTTCCCTGTTGGCAGGTGCGATCGAATTAGCTTCGATTTTCTGATGTAAACATAACCGTACGTGATCCAGCCATCGCGTAATAGAACGGCACTCTCGTTGTATATGATTCGAAACGGAGCGAACGATAAGTGCCGGGTGCCAAATAGTCTACTTGCGGTCGCTATTAAATGTCTTTTCAACTGTTACGTGCCATTAAACAATATGAACGCGTGGCTGCCAGATCCGCGAATGTGGCTGACGTTCGACTCGGAATCGAATTGGGTAAATAATTTTGGAAATTTTCTCTTTAGAACGAGCGTCGCGTTGCGCGACAATGAAACGGAAATAGCTACCTTTTAAATGGGCGTTGCATACTTAAACAGACTGACTGCTCAGGCGGAGCATAATTTATCGTCGTAGTGAGACATTTTCCGTGTTCGAGTAATAGAGTGACATCCTATGCAACAGGTTACAAGTTTTTGTGCGCGGATTTATGACTGAGCTTGTTTATATAGTGTGTGTATCAGTGAACGTACAAGATAAGTATTGATTTTACAAATAATTTATCGTTAAAGAAATTCAGATTTTTTACAAGTATTAATATATTTCATTTTATGAGCTTGCAACTCAAGATGATGATTTCGTACGTTTTTATGGGTATTATCGAAGTTATAAAAAACGTACTGATAACTAATCGTTTAAGCTAGTAGACAGGAATTTGCCATTTCTCGCGATAGTACGTTCATTAAGTTTCATTTCGTAAACATGATTAACAGCGTATTTCGATTTAGGTAAATGTTAGATTTGAAGAAAGGTGTTTTTATAAATTGAGAAAGTTAAAAATGTACCTCAAATCGTTTTGCGTTTATCGGGAAATTACTCGTCGACCGAAAACGCGCATTCCAGAAGTCAGTCGAAAAGATGCCGACCGAGAACAGACTATTACAATGGGCATAGTATTTTGTATGAGTTCATAGAACAAGATCGTTGCCGCGCGAATCGAAAACAGCGGTCGCTCATTACCAATGGGACGATTAGGTTCCCTGTTGGCAGGTGCGATCGAATTAGCTTCGATTTTCTGATGTAAACATAACCGTACGTGATCCAGCCATCGCGTAATAGAACGGCACTCTCGTTGTATATGATTCGAAACGGAGCGAACGATAAGTGCCGGGTGCCAAATAGTCTACTTGCGGTCGCTATTAAATGTCTTTTCAACTGTTACGTGCCATTAAACAATATGAACGCGTGGCTGCCAGATCCGCGAATGTGGCTGACGTTCGACTCGGAATCGAATTGGGTAAATAATTTTGGAAATTTTCTCTTTAGAACGAGCGTCGCGTTGCGCGACAATGAAACGGAAATAGCTACCTTTTAAATGGGCGTTGCATACTTAAACAGACTGACTGCTCAGGCGGAGCATAATTTATCGTCGTAGTGAGACATTTTCCGTGTTCGAGTAATAGAGTGACATCCTATGCAACAGGTTACAAGTTTTTGTGCGCGGATTTATGACTGAGCTTGTTGAATCGGAAGTAATCACGTTTATCTATTCCTTCACGAGGTTCTTATAGCGTGAATTCACATCTAAGTAGATCAGTACATGATAACCGTAATACATGGGCCGAAAGTTTTCATCGTGTACAAAAATTTAATATTTTTCATTGATCCGTGATCAACATTTCTCGCGACATAAATTGAGACAAGGATGAGTAATGTCTGTTTATTTGTAGAACGATTTCACGAATTTCGCCGATTCACAAGATCTCGAAGAATGCGAAAGTGCAGCCGTGACTTGGCACGGTGTTGTCCGTAGTACGGTTCCGATTCATCTGTTATCTGAAAACAGTCTTGTCCCACTTTATTCATATTTATGTATCTGAAACGGCGACCAGCCGAACGGAACGTGACCGAGTTTCGCCGCGAATTCGGAGAAACTCATTCCTGATTTCGTCCCGTTTTTCCGTTGCCCCCCTTATGAATCTCGGCTTTAACCGTTAATTTCATGAAAGTAACGTCAGTTACTCGTAACAGAGACGATTTATTAAGATTAAGTATTGGATTTTAATGAAGCATTGTTTTTTAGATCTACTTACCGTCGTTTGTAAATATCGCAAAAATTTGCATGATAAGAAGAGAACCTTGCTTTTAAGTATCTATTATCTCTATCCCCTTTAATCATAGATGTAATCGTGTGTCGTAAAACAATTCTCTTTAATCTACTATTTTTGATACCTGCATAGGTTTTGTCGTGTATTTCAATTCCCTCGACGTCCTCTTCAATCTCATTAAGGAGTAACAGGGCGAGTCTATTGAATCGTCCAAGCGTTCTATCAAATCTTCCTCGATCAATTGTTTTCCTACCAGTGAACGTGCACATCCGTTTTTTGTAGATGTGTAGCTTGGAACAGTTTAACTCCACTGACGTTTAAACTTAGTTTAATCTTGTGTGCAGCGTTAAATTTAATTTTCATTTCCGACGTTTCAAGATATTTTCGATATTCACTGTCATAGTCGCGTGTTTAACGTATTATACCATGAGATCTTGGAATTTTCTTTGGAGAGCACCCAGCTTGCAATGACATTGATTTCCGCAACGCGTATTGCACAATATGTTACATAACAGCAGACGAGGAACTCGTTTTTAATGAAAAACGGTGAATAGATGCAGTATCCAAAAAAGTTTGCTCTAAAAAATGAACAAGATATCAGGTATTAGAAAGCTGAGAATCTTTAAATAGACCCCGAGTATTTATAAACGAAATCTAATAATTTTCAAATCGAGTCAGAGTGGCGTCGGTGAGATTAATCTCAGCTGACAGTGCGAGTCAGCTGGCTCGACGAACTTTCCGTTAACGAATCGATCCGCGACTTCCAGCAATCGCGCATCATTAAGAGCGAGTGCCTCGTGTAATCTCGAGTTTCCGTGCCGGTGAATCTCGACTTATTCCTACGCGCGCTTCCGCCGCGGGCAGCGAACGATGCCGTTGCGGTGGACAATCCGTCCACGTGGATCGCCCACATGCGTCAGGTATCGTGGCTCGCGGTTCTCTTAATTGTTCCCCGTTTTCAGTGCGCGAAGGATGTTAGCACGGCCAAGTTCTGTGTCAGCGGTGTCCGCTCCAAACCTACTTTTACCGTTTTCGTGTAACTGTGCTTCCTTCGCTCGAACTCAAAGACGTAGTGTAATTTCGACTTGTCGAACCTTTCACGCCTTCGAATCATGATTCCATAGACTTTTGATGTTTGCTTCTGTTCGTGGATGGAACAATGCTCTTCTTTATTAATTCGGGCTTGAATCTTGCGAGAGATAATAATGTTTCTCATTGATCCGCGTTCAGGCGGACGAAGTCGGTGCTGTGTTTCGATCAACGATCTCTCGTTTATCCCTGCCGGGTTCCTGGCTCACGGATGCTAATAAATCGTGATCCCAACGGTGAATAATTCAGTCCGACCGTCGTCACTCGCGGAACGCAGGTGCTTAGAAGTCGACCGCGCGCGATATTTCATCGTGGAATTTTTCACCGTGCAGTGGAAAGTTTGCGTGCTAGTTATTAAAATCGAGTAGGGTCAACGGTGAGAAAGAACGTGGGACACGGATGAATAAATCTCGTTTGACGATTTCTTCGATTGAACCGTCAGAAGTGTCTCTTGGTGGAACGATTCGATTTCAATGTTCGTAGTAAGTGAACAAGATCAATGGGCAAAGTGGATTCACGTTCATTTGTATGAAATACGTATTTATTTCATAATTGTAAAATATGTAAAATTGTCGCTATTAGTTTGCCAACAATCTAATTTCTCTCCTTTGAGAGCCGCGGCCAATGTCATTGAATCAGTGGTAATCGAATTTCAAGTCGCGAAACGCTAAGTGCAGATGATCGGCCTTGGGGCTCTGTTCGACACGATCCAAATATCATAGTTTTAACTGTTACAGCGTTTTTGCAAGAGCGTGTAACTGTTACCTTGACTTGGTTCGTAATCCAATGCAGGAAACGATAGCGATTCAGAGATATCGTTGAACGGTCGCAAGAGATAGCGAATGCTTTTTACGTAGACGTTTATAATAAAGCTACCCTCGAATGTTAAAATGTTGGAAAGTTTCGTGCATTTACGAGAATAGAAAACACGTAGGTGAGAATCGATCGATAAGTGAAGATAAGAGTTTAGCACCGACCATTTCGGCCTGTTAATTTTTATCCTAAAAACGGCGACTTCCTTTTCGATTATAACGCATATACTTCAAATTTTCCATGTTATTTAATAATCTGAAAAGTAAGTACCATTCGACAGACAAGAAGCGTTCGTATTATTATTTAGAGATGAATTAACGTGATAATTCTAAATAGAATACGAGAAGAGACTTAACGTTTAAGTAACACCTACGTAGAGAACGTTATCTGCTATCTGGGTCTTTATCTCACGAGTTAGAGTAGCGTAATCGTTGAGTAATTGGGAAATTGCAAAAGAATCGCGGTACGGATGGACGGGTATCGAGGAGACGTCGCTTGCACTTTCTTCTTCGTCGCGAGAGTTGATATTTCAGTGAAAGTTCACAACTCGGTCGCGTACCCGATCAGCTGACCCATTGATTTCCTCTTGAGCGTTCCCATTATGCCGTTCCACATCACGAGTAATCTACCTTGATAAACGTTCGCGATAAAAGCAATCTTTAGCGCGCTATTAATTTAAATGCCTTTCATGTGATAATCTACAATTTAGCGATAATGTTATTTGTTGATGTAATTTTCAGAAAGCAATACAAATAATACAAAAAGGACAATTTTCTTTTTTTTAAAATTAGATGCAAATGGAAACAAACTCGTAACTATTTTTATGCACATTTTGCGATAAACCTGGTTGAAATTGTTACGTCCAGTAGACGGCAATCTTTATCTTTATGATTGCGCTTGTTGTCAATGAGTCATCGCTCATGCTTTTTGATGATTCTACGTTATGCACGTTTCTTGCATTGAGTTACATGTTATTACCGACTTACAAATACGTTCTTTAGTCCTCGTTTTATTCGCCTCTAATTCAATGAACTGCACGTGGCGTGTTACGGAGCCTTATCAGTGTGAAATTTAAAAAATCGATTTCTTTTTAAATCTCACATTGGTAAGGACCCTTAAATTGCGAAATACGTACGTATTTACATACTTTCTTGTGAACGTCGTACAAGTTGCTAACGACTTTTTATCTCGCGCAATTATTTATTATGCAAGGTTTCTAAACTCCCGAGTGACTGCAAAAAATTCATTTGATGTACAATCGACCGACGGTGAGCATCGATTTCGTTCCCCCGAACGAAAGTGAAAATGTCGCACGTTCCAGTGAAAAGTAAATCGCCGACGAAGAGTTCGAAGCAGGTCTCCTCCCATGGAGAGTATCGCCGGATACAGTTTGCTTTACTGAAGGGACATTTGCACGAGGTAATAAAAGTCAAAAGGAAAACTTGGTAATCTGCTTGAGGGATAAAATACTGGAATATAATAGATTTCTTGCAGAAATTCTTTTCGTTTATAGCCTAGAAGTATATTTGGCTTTCTTCTTTGTCGTCTTTCTTCGCGGTTTTCATTGCCTAATTAAACTCCCGAATTCGTGAGAACTTTGATTGAAAATCCATATTGTAACATTTGTCACAGGCATGCCAAATACGCTTGGCATAAGTAGAACGATTTCCGTCTCCTACGTGAGTGAACATTCAATAATTTCGATGCATACTAAACTTCACTCCTATAATTGAAGTAAACGTTTCACGGAACTGATTTTCATGTACGCGGTTCTGTCGATATGTTTGATAAGTAGGGTAGGATTCGATCAATACCGCAGATATTGCATGACCCAGGAGAATAATCTTTAGTAATAAGTACAAGAGGTTGTACAGTGTTCGCGTTCACTGAATAGATAGATTTATATGTACTTCGTTAGACGTACATTCTAATATTCATACGAAAGTTCGAGAGATATCTCTGTGAGAGACTCGATCGAGAAATCGGTTATTCGTTCTTTGGCTAGTCTTTGGGCACACTTCGTCGCGTTGTCACACCGAATCGAATAAAAGTAATTGACCAATAGCTCTCTACTAACAAGGACGAGACCAGCCATGGTTCAATCGCTGGTCCATTTATTCCCGACCAACCGAACGCTTCGACGTGGTCGCGATTCGATACCGCCACGTATCTGCCTCTAACTATCTCAAATATCCACTTTCAGAAATAGATTAAACAGAGGACCAGATTAATCACGTCCACTTCCTGTGTGTTACCACGATTTGCAATGTTCAATTACTCGAACCTGTCTCGCCCCGGGTCGAACCGCGGCCAAGCTTCCAACGATTTACAACCGTAATTCTACACATTGATCGAGCCTCGTGCATGCATAAATTTCCGCCAAAATATGATGATAGAATTGCTTCCGGTTAACACTAAACATTTCGTAGATTATGAACGTGTGCTCGTTCTTCTGTCCTAACTATTTATCGCCGTCGGTGTTCATCAGACACAATATTCAGACAAGGTTTCAGTCCGATTTTATTGTACGATCGTCCATCTCCTTCAATTTTTTAATTGTTTTACACGCGTAGTCTCTATCTACGCTGAGAGTAGTCTATTTTCGTTAGCATTCGACGGCGTGCCAATGTTCGCCCCACTGGGCGCGACCAGATGATTTATCCGTCTCCATTCTCACGGAGAACGGCGAGATACACGAATCGGTTTGCCAGGATAGGTTTGTCATACAAACTTGGAGCATCTTCCTCCGGGGGGGATCGCTGCCAGCCGGATTCATAATATAATCCGCGTGGTCCGTCGATCGTTGGACCGGAGGAACGAGCAGCATGTCCGCTCTCATGGACATGTCACGGTTCCACGAGTCCCTCCGCGCGATCGCGAATCGATCGGTTAAGCCGGTTTCGTACGTCCAGTTACTCGATTTAAGTGGACTGTTTCAAATGGTGTGAGTTTCGAAGTGGAACTTGGCACCCTTCGGTGTCTCGTCCTGACATTTCGTTTTCTAATCATGGCTCGACGCGAGCAAGCTTGGACGATTGCAAAACCCGTGATAAGTTCCGATTTACTTTCTATGTGAGTATCTCCCTGAATGCATCCTTCTAGTTCTGTGTCTTACGTACGCACGTTGTCCGAATAAGTATCAATGTGATTAAATTAAAAGTACAATCAATACTTCGTCAATTTTAATGAAAATAAAGCAATTCAGATTCATCGATCAGAATTCAGACACTGAAAGGTTTCTTTTATTAATTTCAAACGTGTCCAATATTTCAAGCGTTCGACTTATGTCGGTGTTGGTATTAGCAATTCGTCGTAAATGAATTAACGTATTCCCGGTGTATAACACCGTGCGTTTATTAAAGGTGATTATTAAAAGGCCGCGGTAACGGTCGACAGATACGCATAACAACGCGATGCCAAAAATGCTTTTACGCGATGACTACCAATAGCGAATGTCATTGGGTGCCAAACCTTGCGATCAATCGATCGCTTTTTTGTTTAAGGATGTATTGGCTATACAGTCAATCCCAAAAGTTTATGTACCTTAGAAAAACGCATTTCCTATAATTAAAAAGAAATCAGACGTCGGACGAATAATGCTAATAATAAATAGCTACGTGCTAAAAAATATAGAAGGAAATATCCAATTAAGTATTGACGCTGACGACTAATTTTTTTCTACAAAATTTCGAAAAATGCTTCAAATAAAAGTTATTTTCCTTCTAATTTCGATATTTAACGAGTTACGTATGATTATTTGGCATTTTATTGATGTTGACAAAATCCGACCATCCCAGCGTCGAAACGACGAACTTTTGGCAAAAAATTTCATTTTTCCTTAATTACTCCTAAACCGTTGAATCTATGGGAAAATTGTATAGCACCTTTCTTGTAG